CGGAGTACAGTGGAGCACAACACATATTTTGGAAAGCAGCCTCTTCTGCTTTTATCATGATTTTAAGTTTAAAATCTTAGTATCCTGTGGTACGGCTATTAGAAGAACTAAGCAGACAGATTTGAAAGAATCTTTCAGAAAGTACACACAAGTAAGGTATCTGAGTGCTAAACACAAACACACACATATCACTCCCAACTGATCAATCTCTCACCGGTGCGTTTCCAATTTACAGAAGATTCCCAGGTTGAGATGACAAGACTGACCCCTCCAATGGGTCACTGCACTCTGCAGTGGAGCGCCTCTTTGAACGCTTTTGAAACATTTTTCTTTTCACAGACAACCTCCAACTGAGCTCTGGCTTTAATAGCACAGCAAGGTGGAATGTTGCTTGCCTTTGGCTTTGTCCAAGTACATTTAAAAAGGAACACTTTTACTGAAACACTTATTATAATATACTAATAAAGTATTCTGAGTCAACAGCTTGGCTTACAATAGATGTCTTTGCAGGGGAAAAAAGAACACAAACTATTGAAAGATTTGTCTGACTTGAGGGCGGCAGGTCCAATTGCTCCATAAATAACAGTGTGCAGTAAATCCCATGAACCATTTAGATCTTGTTACATTACGCCATAAGAACCACCATGCAAACCAGTTGCTACATGGTTAATCTGTGCAACAATCACAACGCTAGCACTTGTATTTGACAGTGATTATGGGAGCGAGTTTGTGCGCCGAGAGACATTAGGCACCGGGGTGGATGGTTAATACTCCTTCAGCCTGCCATTTCAGCGAAGCGGAAGGCTTTCATAAAACTGCAGCGACAATGAGAGGAGAGTTTAGAAGAGATTTTGGAGGCTGACACGCTGACATGCAGGGGTGAGTCACTGACAGACTGACAGAGAAAAAGGGAGATGGAAAAACAAAGAGAGACAGTTAAAAGTGTGCTAGAATAAACACAGACACAATAATTGACTGGCTGAAAAGTCCAGCGGACTATCTGTACATCTACTATCTTATAAGCTACATGTATGCTTATTTGTTTGTGAGTGTGAGTCCTCCAATGTATATGAATACAACAGCTAGGTGTTACAATGCATATAGGTTCCCTTACAATACCACCTTAAGTAAATCAATAGGCACATTATGGTCCTCTATAAACACACACATTTGCAGTGTGTGCGTGCAGGCCTGCGCGCACATGCATGTAATCCTTCATAAATGGAAATGGTGATTATGCATTACTGACAAGAGTCATTGGTTTCGCTACGCAAGACAAGTGTGTGTGTGTGTGTGTGTGCGCGCGTGTGTACACTTGGCATTCATTAAGTCGAAACAAAACAAGCGGCAGCAGCTGAGTGTGTGAGTGTGTGTCTTGGCTGAGACAACAGAGAGAACAGATTCAAAGAGAGCCAAAAGTGGGGTTCACTGAAAATAAAGAGGGAAAAAAAAGAGAAAGAAAAGAGGGACAGAAAAAGAGAACGCAGAAATTAAGTTAAGAAGTCTGTTTAAGAGGGCCACTCAACTTCTGATCCACACACACTCTGGCCCACACTTTCGCAAGGCTTCATAAGTTGTTTTAAATTCACACACATTTGAACTAATAGCTAAGTCGCCGTGGGCAACGCCATGAAAGCCTCTTGGAAGCATTAATCAGACGAGCTGATTTAAAACGCATCAGGTTTTAATTTTTCTAGTTATTATTTCATCCTAGATTCTAATAATCTTAAATCATTTAAGATTAAGTGCTTGAGATTTTTTTATATTTAAAGGCTTAAAAAAAAACAATGTCACAAATTAAAAACCAGCGTTCCGTACCTACATGCTCCAGTATACACAATCAAGCCACAAAAATCTCCTGATCATGAAACAGAAACCTGCACTGAAATCATGCTTACATTGTACCCGTGAGAGCAGTAATACTAAATTAAAAATACCAGTGAATGATTTACTCTTTTCATTTATCACTTTACAGGATGCTAACTAAATGCCAAAATGATGAAAGCTTATTGGAGGAAAGGCTTCTGTAACAGCAGCGCGTTTTCAGACTAAACTTAAGACTTCCTGCAACTTTTAAAATTATACATGACAAAAACTTCAAGGTAAAGAGACCGTTTAAAAGCTCTGCTCTGGGACTTCTCTTGACACCTCAGTGACTGGTAAATACACAGACGGTCTTCAGCCTAAATCAAATGTGGGAGAAGAACAGAGGTGCAGGAAAATAACTAGGTCAGTAAACCATGGCAGTGAAGATGAGACTGTGCTGGGTTGTGAATAAGTTTTTGTGTGTGTGTGTGTGTGTGGTGTGTTGTGTGGTGTGTGTGGGTGTGTTGTGTGTGTGTGGTGTGTGTGGTGTATAGTGTGTGTGTGTGTGTGCAGGGCCCACTTTTGGCAGGGGAACCCCTATTTGGAGAATATGGTCATGCTGGTAGGAGAGGGCTACAATGAGCTGGCAAGTTTGAGGGGATGTGCTGCCAGTCTCCACCACCAATCTCAGGAGCATGGGAAGGCAAACACAGAGTTGGTCTCAAAGACTTCTAAAGGGTGCCGCTTCCTGCCAAAAATCACTCGCACCTGTCCTTCTGTCTCTGCCTCCCTTCCTCTCTCCCTCTCTCCCGCTGCTCTCCCAGTCTTCCCCTTTCTCCGATCCTACCTCTCTATCCCTTTTCTCTCCACAGTGTGAAACTTTTTCTTCACTCAGAAATTGGAACCAGCTACGCCAACGCCCCTCCCTTCTGTTTTGGCCAGTGCCAGGTGTAAAAGCTCCTGGCATCGTCTCAGTTAGGCCTGTTCAGGAACAGCGCGGGGCAGCCATGCCAGGGCACTGGAGTCATCCTTCACACATAAAGCACACACACACACACACACACACACACACAAAATACGCTTTTTAAAAGAGGGCATGAGGCAATGCCAAGTACTGGCTAGGCTTGTGTTTCATTAGCATCAGATAGAGAGCCTTTCTTCATTCAGTCCTGCTGTGTGTTTTGTGTGTGTGTGGAGTGGACTAATGAAAACCACGGAGCAAGCTGGCCTCTAACTGAACTCCATTCAACACACAGCACTACAGGCCATCAGAGCAAGAGAGAATAAAAGTGTGCGAGAGTGTCCTTGTTATTCCTTCAGCGCCTTTCTTCCTAAGTTGATAGAGAGTAGAGTGTTTACGCCTTGCTATAATATAAGCTGCAGGGTCACTTGGTTTCAATTCATCACTTTCTGTTGTTGTCAGTGAGACGGTCCCCACTGCAATTATTCTCTCATGTGTACAATTCAACCTCATTTATCCTGGCTGACTTCAAGATTACCTGTTAGCAGAATTTATTTTCCTACTACTTGCAGAAAAAGAACATTTTCATTCCTATAAATTCAAGTCTATGCAATATTTTACATCTCTGGAACAGCCTTCTGAAAAACTTTTAATTTCTTATCAGTTGCTTCAGGAGGCCTTGCTCCTCTGTTTCAAAGCCAGGTAGATGAAAGCTCGTAATGACCGAGCTCAGATTTGGAGGTTACAGTATCGAATGACAGCTAGGAGGACTTAGGCAGGTGCTTAACACGCAGTGAATGGAGCCTGTATGGGCTGCTCATTACAGAAGGACATCTGCTGCTGTCCGGCCCCCAGACTCCGCCCCTAGCTTTACACTGATGCTTTGATGCCCTGTCAATGTGTGCGTGTGTGTGTGTGTGTGTGTGTGTGTCAGACCAGCGGCAGAACAAAACAGCACACACACACACACACACCAGTGCATCACTACCCACTAGTCACACACACACACCTGCCACCTACAGAAGCTAGAATAAAAAGTGGAGGTGGTGGGGGGATAAAAACAGAATATAAGAAAAACATTTATGGTTTGCAACACAAAAGTATAAGCATGAATGTCAGTGCATTGTGTACTGTATTATGCATGCGTGTGCATGTGGGTTTTGTGGCAGAGGGAAAAGCATCACACCAGCCATTTTAATCTGCTGTACACTCTATAGAGCGTGATTATTTGTAAATCATATTTTCCAGCTTGTGATTTCAAAACCTGCTTCATGCTGAATGCATTAGAAGCGTCACATTTTCCAACAATCCTTTATTCCATTTTCCAAGAATATTTGTCTAAGAGAGAAAGAGAGAGCGAGCAGTGTTTTGCACCAATCTCTCTGAAAATTACTATTTTTTTTTTAAATAGACGAAAATCCATTTCAATAATTCACTCGTGATATGAATGCCTTCTTTTAAAAAATTATGCCGGCCGGAAATTAACAGCTCATTGTACTCTGCAACAACTTCAATTTTTTTAATGATTAATTTGGAAATGCATAGCAACATTCCTTTAAGTGGCTAATTATAAATGACCGAAATGGCATTTGCGTTAAAAGATGAGGGGGCGTGCTCATTAAAAGACCTCGGCGGCCTTTACAGGGTGGCACTATTTACACTTCTCTGTTGACTGTCATCTTGTATTACATAACTAATGGCCAACTTGCTCTTGTCCAGACGAGGGAAGAGAAAGAAATGACAAAGAGAGTGCATACACTAAGTTTATAAATCAATGCAATGGACAAAGTAGCTCTGAAACATTTTAAATTGATTTTGCTGGGGGAATTTGTTAGAGAGGGTGCGAGAGTAGTACTGGGAGACAGAGAGAATAAATTACCCAAAGAGAGAGAGAGCAAATGAGAAAAAAGAGAAAGATAAAACGTGTGTGTGAAACAGTAGAGAGAACTTGAAAGCCACTGCTATCACATGGCCGCCTCTTAACCCTCAAAGCTCAGGAAATTCATCACAACTAAGCTACACTTACAGTTGGTAACGTGCGCAAAGTTTCTCATCACACTCGCAACCTCACACACTCGCAGTATCAGCAGCAGCAGCCTTTGATATGTGCTCACGTATACAGACACCAACAGGCTCATAGATCTCCACGCAGTACAAGATTCATAGCTCTATAAAGCTCACAAACAGGATTACAGACACATAAACACACACACACACACACACACAGCCTCACCTCTTCTTTGCAGGACCGTCCTCGCCATACTTGCTGCCGTCCAGGCCCTGAGAGCGCAAGGACCCATCTTCTTTGTGGCTGCCCTTTGACCCCGAGCCATTCAGCTGCCCATTGCCTAGGGAACCTGAGGAGAGAAGCATCAAAAACATTTTACTGACCAACTCCAGAAATCTGCGATGCTCCTCTGTGGATATTTTATCATCCCAGGGGATTAATATTGCATAAAAAAATATAGCTCTTTAGGAAACAAACATTGTTATCGTCTGACAGTGTTAATAAAGCTTCTGTTTTTGATTTGATGCAGTGGAGAGGGCTGAAGGCCGAGGAGATACATTTCTTTTGATAAGATTATTGTGTGTCTGCTTTATCTGAGCGTACAGAACATGGAAAACAAAAGGACAGAAAGAGAGAGATAAATACAGGGAGGACACAAATTATTCAAGCATCTAGACTGTACAAATACGCTGATATTCTGAGCAGGAAGCATCTGCAGTCAGTGCAAAAATAGTAACACATCGTCTATGCAAGCGAATGTGACTGAAACTCACACACAGTCCTTCACATCGCATATGACCATAGCTTTTGCAGCATCATGGGGGTTAGCTTTGGAGTGAGGAGAGAGTTACTTATTCATATTTCTGTCCACATTCTCCCTTGTCGAATGCAACTGCTGTTCTCTGCTGACGTACGTGATGTGTGCCCTTTGACAAAGGGTTTTTTTTTTTTAAAGCCTGAGGCAGCGAGAGAAGTGAACAGATATTGCTGGACCTGACATTCTTAGTGAGCCCAATTGACAGAGCCCTAATTAAATATTTAGCAAGCAACTCAGACAAACAAAATAAGCCCCCAGACAGATTCTTAAATCAAAAGCAATAACAACAGGCAGTGAGAATTTAAATTAGGTCAAACAGAGGAGTGGAAGTCAGTGGTAATTAAGGGAGACAACCAAATTAAATAGATATCACAAGGCTTGATTTCCTCATGGGCAGTTCTTGCAATTCTTGGAACGTGTCACACAGCCCATCTGATTCAACAATGGCGTGCGAACGAGCAAACTTATCGGGAAACTTCAAAGCTTTTCACGAGTTAAAAAAAAAAAAAAAAAAGGAGAATGCGGGAGCTGCCAAGGAGACCGACTGGAGACAGAGGGGCAATCGCATGTTTAAAACTGCGCTGCTCTTGCCAGCTGAAATATCACTTTGCGGAGCTGAAAGCTGAAGATTCATATCAGTGAGTAAGCAATGCAGCATCAAACACTTGACACTGACAATAATTAATCACATTTTACCCGTTTTGACAGGTATTCATGCCTGACTGAACTTCGGTATTGCAGGTTGTTAAATTATTCCCGTTCACATTACACAAAAAACTGATGACTCACTGAACAGTCAAGCTCCTGGTGGTTTGTTTAACTAAGAAAGCTGCTGTCATAAACCCTTTCTTTCACCTTTCAAATGGTATGGTATGTCACTTTCTCATTGCCTTCCTTGCACACCCAGTGAAATTCCATTTGACTGATGCTTTGCAGGGATATGTCACTCACCCTGCACCGCAAACTCCTAATAGTGAGTGTCAAGAGGGAAAATAAATTAAGATAATAACGACAGTGGAGCACGGGTTAGGATAAGTGGCAACTTGAATGATATCCTGTTAGCAAGGAGGCTACTGTCGAACAAGCCCAGGCATTGTGTCATCTGAGAAAGATGGGACGAGGAGGGGAGTAGGAAGATCAAATGACAGTGTAGGAGACAGGATGAAGATGAGCAATTGTAAAGCAGGTAAAAGGAGTTTTCAAACGTATGATTTAACTGAGATTTATAAATGCGCTTTGGGCTGAATGAGCACACACGCAGTCACACACATTCTCATTATTGCATAGACACACAGGCGGTGGGTTTTTCTCCCACACGCAGGGCAGGTCAGTACCTGAAAGCGGAGGTCAGTCATCGGTACACACATCGTTGCGGTTGAGAGTTAACAAGCGCCGCCGTGATGAGTAAGGCCATTGCACTGCTGCCAATGCTTTATGTTGGCATTGGAGAGCCTCTAAGTCTATAGGGCAGGGGTGAATCACTGCTTTACAATGTCATGGTTAGCACGAAGGGCTTATATCCGTGTGCCTTTCATCAATCAACTTACTAACTAACTCACTTAAGAGTCCTTTGAAGTTTCTCCTTTCAAGCTAAAGTAGATTTCAAAATGAAAAACAAAACTTCATATCAACAGATAATTCAATTAAGCTGCATTTGTGAATGATTTTAGACACTTTTTAAGGATAAATTGCAAAGATTGAGACAGATTCCGACACTTTTCAGTACTTTATTTGTGAAAAATAATAATTTGGGGGAACTGAAAAGTGATAATTAATTGAGGAACTACAAAGAGTCTTATCACGACTTTTGATATGTTTTGCCAGTGAAAGTTGCACCAGAGGGAAAAAAAGAAATAGCTCATTGACTCTAATTGTGCTCAGAAAATGATTGACAGATAATGTCCCCACAGAACACAAACAAACAGGCAAAGGCCCGTCTCTCTGCCCCCTCCCTCAATCTATCCCCCCTATTCCTCCAAAGACTTGTTTGACATATGCTGGTTGCACATGAACGCCCGTCTGAGAGGCAGAGCTGGGAATCTTGGGAAGGCAGAGGGCTGGGGATGGGCGAGCGTGGCACACGGGCAGGGAGCCAAAGACTGGTGCTTAAACTCGGGCTCCCGGTGCTGGTAGAGGCCTATGACAGGAAATAGAAATGGGATGGGGCGGTGGAGGGATATTCTGGTGTGCCATCCCAATAGCTGGGGGTCCTAATCAGACGTGCGCTATGCGTGCTTAACTAAGCCCATCGCCCGCTATGTTCACCTCAAAGTCTCGAGAGAGCACGAGGGAGTGAATAGAGGTACATACCGTAACATGGCATATCACAGGGCTGAGAGGAGCCTATTAGTGTGAGCCGCAGTAATAAGTGGAACTATAGCAGAGTAGTCATGCCATAAGAAAAGATCATTGTAGGGGCAGAGAGTGCCCTTATAGGTTTTTGATTACACTTCCAAACACAGGCTTAATGTGAAAATCAGTGCATTGCCATAACAGACAGGGAACCATATTAGGGCTGTGAATATAGCTGTGATAAAATGCTTACTTGCTTCTAGGTTTGCAGATATATGGTGGTAATCTGTCTTTTGACTTCCTTCTCATAAATGAACAATTCTGTAGTTAAAGTTAAAATTCTAATGTTTTAAAACACTTTAATCTCCCCTTCCTTCTTGTAAACAAGAGCACTAAAATTCTATTTCATGCCCTTTGTTCAAGTAATCCTCTGTGCCTGTATACAATTAAAAATGTGGGATAATATAAAAAGAAACAATGGGTAGTTTTATTTTTGGGAAAATCCCCATAGTACCCATTCCCAGGCGTTTTTCGGAGTAAAGGCAGATACTAAAACTGACTGCCAGGCAAGAGGATTTCAAATAGCCCCAAATATATTGCCCTTCCTTCCAAAATTGAACCTAACAACATTGCATGACATTTACCACAAGCCAAAACAAAAGCATGCACAACAATGTGCAGTTCAGAAACATGGCATCTGCTTTGTGCTGTTCAAGGCTGTAAATCTAAAGCATCAAAGGGAGGGATGGGGTATTGTAATGGCTTGAGCTGTTGTGTACAAAGAGCATGTGAGGACAGAATAGATTTTATACCGAAACTCTCTGTCTTTAGGCTACTGTGATCTCTTTTTGTCCCCACCTTCTATACATCCCTGCTGGATCTGCTGGTATTCCAGAGAGAAAATAGAGGGCCCACACAGTGTTTTAGCTGCCACGGCTGCCACTCTGGCCATGCAAGGGGGCTGGCGGCATGGGAAATACAGACGGACAGCAGAGTGACAGCAGAGTGAGTGGTGAAGGAAAGGGGACGGCTCGTATAAAAACGAGTAGGAACGACAGGTCCTGGGACCGGCAGACAGACAGGAAGAGAAAGAGAGAGGACAGTCAGAGAAATGGGCAAACAGGGAGCCCTCTCTTCAGCCCCTCCTGGTTTTTGGCCAGCAGCCAGCTCCTCCATCAATAGCACTCAGGGAAATGGAGAGGGAGGAAAGGAAAGGATGGAGAGAGGAGAGGTACAGACGAGTACAGCGGAGGGAGATTGCGAAGCAGGGAGGTACAGGAAGAAGATGCAGCTTCAACGATACGGAGAACAGGAGAGATTAGGGTGGGAAACAGGGCAGAGGGAAGGGAAAGGAAAGGACGGTGGCCATGGAGGAAGAATGGAAAAAGAGGGAGGGAGGGTTTGGGTGACAGATACTGTGGACAGTTAAGACAGATGGGGGCAGAGGACAGGAAGGACAAAGCGGAAAAGAGGGAGATGGTGAGAAAAAGGAAGAGAGAGACGGATGGAGGGAACAGGAGGGGAGAAAGAGGCTATGGTGAGGAGGGTGGGGGCGTGGTGATACATAATCGAGGAGATTGAGCAGCGGGAGGGAGAGAGGAGACAGGAGCTTGCGGAGAAGGCAGTAACCAGAGTCCTATTGATGTGTAATGAAACCCTGCATCCGGGGAGAGACAACCGGAAGGACAGTCGGATGGAGGGAGATAGGGAGAAAAGGAGAGGAAGAGGAAGAATGTGGCCGTGATGGAGCGGGAGAACGGTGAGGGGGTGAACAAGCGGAAGCCGGGACGCAGAAGGGCATAATGTCATTTGTTAAATAATGCAGGCAGCGAGCAGTAGAAGCAGGAAGTGTGATGGACACAGAGATGGACGGCTGCCAACAGTGAGAGGTAAAGTGGCTGGGGAGATGGCATAATTGCTGGCTATGGGCAGGGAGAAGGCTGGGTGGGTGGGGAGACTGACACACACACACACACACACTCGCACTCGGACACACATGCAGCTGACTGACAGACTGCCACACCCCCTTTAAAACAGATAGCCACTGCTGCCACACAGTGAGTAAGAAAGGAGGAGGGAGGGAGGGAGGGAGGGAGAGATT